TTTTTAGTGCTAACAACAGCAGCATATAATATTCTTTATCCTTATTTTCCCGAAGGAGTTAATTGGGGGCTTCCCATTAAGCTTTAGAAAAACCCAGTTAAAATAAACCTTCCGAAATAAATGTTGTTCTGAACTCAACTATCTTGCAACGACATCATCCAGTGTTGTCCTAGCAGCATTACAGAGATCCACTAAGGTTGTGCCAAGAACTTTGGGCATTTGTAATATCGTGCTTGCTAAGCAGTGTATTGGGGAAATGTGTGTTTTGGCAGGAACAGTGGTCTCTTCTTTGCCTTGCTCGGAGAGTGGATCTTTTCCAATGGATCTACTGCATATAACCTCTATACCTTGTATATAAGTTGTTTCAAAGCATTATCAGTGAAGGGTGAACTACAGCTTCTGCAGAAAGATTCTGCTTCAAGATAACTGTTCTTTTAGCTAGTAAGTTTGCCCTAAATTGCCTTTTTTTTTTTTTTTAATTGAGAAAAAAAGGAGAAAAAATGAAGCTGTTCATTGCCCTCTCAGTAACAGTTGTGTACAGATGTGAAGGCTTATCTGACTCCCTCTGACGTCAGGGACTTAGCTCCCCAGATGTTCTCACTGCATGCATGTTAATTCAATCTCAGGCTTCATTCTATATTGAACCAAGTATTTCCCTCTGCAAGGAAGGCACTGAACAAAGGAGAGAAAACACCAGGATCTTTTCATAACTGATCCTTGCAGTCAACATGGACATAAACCAGTTGTATCCTTTGCCTGGGGACCATCATTCATTCCCTGGTGCAAATAATTAGGACAGAACCCACCACGTAATATTTATCAGAGCTCTTGCTTTTTCAAATTGCAGCTCTCCAAGACTCTAGGTGCTGTGACAAGAGCTGTATAAAACATCAGGCGCATAAAGATAACACCGACAATACAGCAGTGGAAAAAAAAAAGTAATTCTTGCAATGCCACCCACGTGGTTTTGTCTTAACTGCAGCTCTCAAGTAAAAGTTTTGATGAACATGATGTGCTCTGATTGAAAATGAACTAACTACAATTTTCTTTTGTATGGAGTTTCTTCCATTCCGCTGCTGTTTCGGATTAGCAAACCCAGTGAGGAGAGCAAAAATTTCCATGTCTAGTTTTCCTCCCCTATCAGCTAGGACTGTTCTTGTTAGTTCAAATGGAATTCCACAATTGCAGTTCCACAAGAATGTGTAGTGAATGCCTGGGTCTGCAATGGGACATGCATTTTCACCAATAAATAAATGTGTGTTCCTCAATAAACTGGTCAAAGCTTCACTGGAAAATGGATGCTTAACACTCAGAGGTGAGGAGGAACCATGACTGGTAAAAGGAAAGTGTCATTTTGTCATTGCTTGCGAAAAGCCAGGCTATTTGCTTGCTAATTTGAAATTAATTAGGGATATGCTTCCTACGTAACTGACGTGTCAGTCATCAAAACAGGGGTGCTAAGAATTCTGCATATACTGAAAAGTAATAAAAAAGTATTTGAAAGGAAGAATGTCTACAAATGAGAATGAATGTCAGGAGAAAACCCTTTGAAATAGTCTGTAAAACAAAATATTGATAAAATACTGATGATGCAAGCAGGATATTTTAATTCAAAATTATTTGGGCTGCTTTTTTTTTTTTTTTTTTTTTTCATTAAAAATTAATCAGACCAAATGAACAGTTTTGCCGATTGGAGGGAACACATCTAGACCTCGAGCAAGCTCCTCGTTACCCTGGGAGGAAGACCACAAGGTGCAACCCCCCGAATTGCGAGAGGCATTTCCAAGGGCCAAGTGCCTCAACATCAAACATCCTCCAGCCCTTCACTTTGGGCCAGGGTCGTGTGGGGAAAAGCAGGCCCTGGAGTCTCCTCCAACGCGGCACCTTCTGCAGCCTTGCTCCCTACAAGGAGGGCTACAAAGCCAATTTAGCCTACAAAAGGCTAAATTTTGACCCTCTCCGGCTGTTCTTTTCCAGCTCCCCCTCCAGTTCTGTGGTCGCTGGGCCGAGGACCACAGCTGGCCTGCGGGCCACCAGCCGCGAGATGGCGACAGCGTCACGATAGAAGGAGGCCAGACCCTGCTGCTGGGGACGACCACCAGCAACCTCAACCTGCTGCATCTCAAAGGTCTGCGGGAAAGCGGGCTCTGGGGCTTTTCTTCCTCCCAGGCCTGCAGTTTGTCCTTGCCATGGGGTCCCTTTCCCCCAACCCTTGCACCGGTGGAGATGTTGGGATGCACGTTGCATGTCATGATGGAGCATAGAAGCATTTAGTTAACATGGACACAAAAGACATCATTTATACTATTTGAGGCGTAATGACTATATGAGCAGGAAGGCTTTTATTAATTTATTTGTTTGCTGCTGTCTTGAGTGGTGCTCAACGGTGATGGCAGTGCTGGTAACAATAGTCAATGCTGTTTTCTTTGGCATCTCCGAGGCAAGCGCATTGCAAAAAACAAAAGCCGTTGAGAAATTAATGATGCTACAGAATTACAGGCCACAACAGCTACAGAATGTAATAAATAATCCAAGATCCTAGAGCAGGGCTGGTGGGGAGTAAATAACCCAGTGCGGCTATGAGGGGAGGACACAAGTTTGCAGGGTTTGCTTGCCCGAGGGTAGGCGCAGCATCAGAGCCAGAAAGTGCAGCTCTGTTGGTGTCAAAGTAGGAATTAGAATAATTTGCTGGCACCAGAAGTAGTTTTTTTTTTTTTTCCTTTTTTTTCTTCTGGAAATTGGGACCCTGGTTGTGCAAACATTTGTGCCTTTGCTCCCCATTAAGCATGCTAGTTGCTCTGCTGAATTTACCTGCTTAAACTTAAACCTCTCACTTAATTTTCTGCTGCGTTGGAGCTTAAGAAAGTTAAAAGATAATTTTCCATGCATTTAAGGACTTAGACTTTCCTTACTGGCAAAAGTAGTGTTGTATTAAGACGTCATGAAAGGCAACAGATTTTCATTGAGAGAGGCAAAATTAGGAAAAACATACATTTAGTAGTTGTATTTGAATGTTGCTACAAATTAGTCTATAAAGATGAAAATTTGAAAGCTTATCTATATTGTGCAAATATTTACACCAAGATTTGAATTAGGTGAGTCAATCTTTAGAGGTTCAAAACTACTACACTGGGCAACATTTTTAATTTGAAAAATCAAATAAGGTTAAAACATCAAAATAAGATTTTAAAAAAAGGAAAATTTTAAATCTAAATTTCTTCCTTCCCACAACTGAAAATCCTAAATCTAAGTGATAAAAGAATCTTTCAAGCCCCAGTGTGACTATTGCATGTAGTGGGTGAGATAGATCAGTGCTGCAAACTTTGGAGACTTTTGGCTGCTGATCTGGATGAGGATTTGGGGATTTAGACCCTGTCTTTGCAAAGTAGAGCACACAGTCATAGCAAAAGCTCCCTGGGCCAACACAAAACCACGTTCAATCTATGAATGACAACTCAGAAAGGGAAGTCGTGTTGAATTTAATGAAGTCTGGAGCAGTACTTTTATGGCTTTAGCTCATCTGACATTCAAATCATTTCCCCGCTTTATCACTTTTTCCAAGAACCTTGTTTTATGGTATAGATTCAATTATTAAAACAGCATTACAATACTCTGCTACTATTAATTTCAGCATAACAAATATAAGCAATTCCATTTTAAAAGTAGAAACCTACAAGGTGTTTATTTATGAGTTGACTCTTTCCTGGAGTTTTTTGTTGCATCACCCCCGCTAATGTGAGTGCTGCTAGCTGTTTGCCTTGGCATGGTTTGGAGTCAAGACATATGGAGGTCTACCCTGTTTTGAGAGTGGGTGGGATTCATCTTCCCCAACTTTACCTTTTTTCTAAGTTATCTAGCCCAGGGGAGTTGTTTAGCCTTCCATATCGATAGGAAGAAACACACACCAACAAAGACCTGTTCATCTGAAGTATTATAGATACCAGTCTTAAGATGAATCACAGTTAGGTGATCCCCTTAGAATAGCAACTATTGAGTCTGTGAACGCATCAAGTAATTGCCAGGCTTCCCCAGCTGCAAGATGGGCATGACGATAAACCCTAACCTGCAGGTGGGTGTAGCTACGTGCTTCGACTGAAGAATAAGGTGAAGTGTTTATTTTTCGTAGTTGGGGCCAGAGAACCGGATTGAACTATAGTTCTGCTCTCTTTGGTTACTGGTTCAGTATCAGTCTGTCAATGCAGACCTAAGCTGAAGATATAACAAGCATTACAGATGGAAAAAAGAGACTATGTGAGGTCACTTGCATCTGTTCCTCTGTTGTACCCTATCAGCCTTTTCCTGGAGCTGTACCTGGCAAAACCAACACACTTCTGTGAGCTTATTTCTCAAAATTTTCTGCTTTTAAGACACCACGGGGATTCTGAAAAGCATCTATCAGGGTTGCTTCAGTTTCCTTGACGATTTCAACATTGTAGAAATTTTGTTGTAACAAGAATGTCACCTACAACTGCATCATTAAGACTGTGTGTCAAGTGGGAAGATGAAAACTCTAGTAGTGACCAGACCGTCTGGACAGAAGATCTGGAATCCAAAAGATGAGTAAAATAAGATTAGGTATCTGGGTTCATAAACTGCCTCTGACCACTCTAATGAAGGTTCAACATCTTCTACTTCTTCCTTGGTGAGTGGAAAGTGAACACTGTTGACAGGGGAAAGTTTAATGACCAGATTGTGGAACTGCTCAGAAGGTACAGATGGGGGATGAGATACAAGACAGATTGGTTGGTTGCAGATGTCCCTATAAATTCAGCAAGTGATTGCAAGTTACTTTCATGATCCCAATATCACAAGTTCAGAAATATTTATGATAATACAGGACAGATAAAAAGTTGCATTCTAAAGCCTGAGAGAGGTACTTGCAGGAATGCCTCATTTTCAAGGTGACACTACTGGGGTTGAAGGTCTGCAATCATCCAATTGCCTTTGCAGTGGCACTCTTAAAGTGGCTGTCCTTGCAGGCATAAGGGAAAAGATTGCTTAGGCCCTTCTCTGGAAAAAACATGATATTCCCTGTCATATCTCTATTTGTCCCCCATGATTTTTCACCTTGATGTGTCTTATCAGTTTGCAGTTGGAACCAGCAAAGCCAGTTCCATGGTCAGACTCTATGCTGAGACTTTGGCAAATATCTAACCCTCATCATCCCTGGTTTCTACCTTTAAAAACTGATGGTGCATACTTAAATTCATCCAGTCTGGACAGTACCGTGAGTAAGCAAGGCTTTTTTCAAGCTATCAGATCCCTAGTAACATTAGACACCTTGCAGGACCCAAAGACACTTGTGACAGTGTCAGATCTTAAACATCTGTTCCAAGAGTGAGACTTATCCATCGATATTTCAGATCCCTCAGAATCCACATTCACATCAGTATGAAGCTAGAATGAGTCCTATAGATAGATTGAGGAGGAGATAAATATATGGCTTTTGCTTGACTTTTCTTTGACTTTGATGTTGTTAGCAAAAAGCATCAAATAGCTGATACACATGAATAAGCACTTGTCAAATCATTGGTGCTTCAATCACTAGTGATAACAACTGGACATGAATTGACTTAAAGAAGGAAGAAGCTTTTTCCCTTTTTTTTCCCCTCTGTTTTCTTATCCCTAGAGTCAGCGAGGCTTCTGACCTGTTTTAGAAACCCTTGTCGTTCTTAACCCACAGTTAACCCACAGTTCTTAACCCACAGTTAAGAACTGTATCGCAGTACTTTCTGTGCCATTTTACTCAATCCATTTGGGATGTGCATTGTGATACTTCTTTTCAGGCAGTTTCTAGTTCATATTTTCTTTTTTTAATCAGGCAGAGACATTACAATTAAAATACCGTAAAAGTGATTCTGGCAGTATTGCAATAAGCATGTTTTTTAATTAAAGAAAGAACATGGGATGTACAAATAGTACCAGCTAATGGGAAATTTCATCCAATGTATTTTTTAATTGAGATTTAAAAGGAAGAAAAGTCAGCCCTATTTTTCTCTGCCGCTGTGTGATATCTTCCTACACTGCTACAATGAGGTGTATCAAGTCTGCAATAATTATGGCCACAGAGCCTTAAAGTCCCAGCTGTTTTGATGGAAAATGAAAGGAATCTCTTTTTTATTTTTTTTTCTTCCTCGTTTTTTCCTTAGCTATAAATCCCAGCTTGTGTTTGCACGTGACACACAGGTATCTCTTTCCAGCTCCGTGCAGGACGGGATTACAGCGAGTACATTAGATTCCTAGGGCTCTCGCTTGCCAATGAAATTGATTTTCCGCATCTTCCACAGCTCTTGGGTCTCCTTCGAGGCTTCCCAGGATGACCAGATCAGTGGAAACAAATCTGGGCTGTGCTAACAATGGGAACCACACACAGCTCCTGCAGAGACCAACCTGAAATTCAAGGCATCGAGGTCTCCTCCTCCACACGCTGGCATGGAGCAAGGGAACAGGCCTGTCTCTGGGAAGCAGATGCTGCTTGGTGTGATAGAGAGATCTTCTGAGTCTGTTTACATCTGTCCTAGATACTAAGCAGATCCTGCTTCACGTTAGCACCTCACACGTCTTTTTGTGCTACAGGAACTTCGCTATTGCTGCCTGTCCAGGCTGGAAGATGAGGTCCATGTCTTAAAGAAGTTTTTAACTGCACATACCTTCAAAGGCATACATCTAAATTATAATCCCGGAGGCACAGAGGGAGCATATTTTATAACAAGGGCTGCATATGATCTTCTTAAGGTTTGAAGTATTGCATTGAACCCTCTTTCTCTGATGGTTTAAAAGAGCATGCATTATGTTACGGTCTTGTTGTAGAATAGGCTTTCATGAGGACCGAAGTCCAACACTTTGTGCTAGATACAGAGAGACAAAACCTATTTGTAACAAAATATCATTTTTAAATCTAATTAGCAAGAGTCATGGGAGAATGGAGAGGCAGAGCAAATACAGATATGCTGGTCTAATGGTCACCCAGGCAAGCTTAGGTGAGCATAAAGATAAGTCTTCCATTGATATACCAAGCTCCTTCATCTCACCTCATGTCCTCCTTCCTTGAGGCATGTGAAGCAGTTAACAGGTGTCCCTCCTCTCCAGATTTTAAATAGCTCAAGGACCTATTATTTTAATCAGATT